CGTTAAGTGAGGGGTGAGGTTATGGAGGCACAGACACAGGGTGGGGGAGGGGGGGCGGTACCTAACCCACAGTTAGATAAGTCATGGAGGAGTTGGCTTCTGAGTCCCAAGGTCAGGGTGGGGGGTTAGTTAGAGGAGCTGGGGGACCCTGATGAGGAAGCAGAGCAGAACAAAGGCCCAGAGCAGGAAAGGGCAGATGTCAGGGAAGCTACAGGAAGTTTACTACCAGGAGAGTTTATATGAATGCGCTAGGCAAGTGGCAAGGGACAAGACTGGAGGGATTGGCAGGGACCTAACTTAAATGGCCTCTGCGTGAGAAAAACTTGAGCTTTATCCTGAAGGTCACACCAAGCCATTCAAGCTTTTTAAGAGGAAGAGTAACTAGGTCGGTCAGCATTTCTTCATATTAAAAGGATACTGGTTTCATAGGAGCGATGATGGCTTTGCCTGCCACTCAGCTCTCAGATCACAGAGGCCCAAGTTCAATTGGCACAGGGGCCGCAAACCTCCTGGACAACAGCATATCTGTCCAGAAAGAGTTTGTAAAGAATTATGAAAATGCTATGTGCAGCTCTATGGTGTAACTGACTAAAACTGACTTTTAAAAAAATGTAGAAAGTATGAACTATTACCAATGAAATAAACTGAAAATGTTATTGAAGTGCCAGGCCCCTAAAGTTTTAAGGATAAATTCTTTCAAGCTTTCAAGGAACAGATAATTCCTAGCTAAATAAATTTTTTTTTCTAGAGCATAGATTATAAAAGAAAAAAAATAAAAGGCCAATTGACTATGTAGTTAGCATAACCTCACTCTACAGCCTAGAAAATATTTCATAAAATACTAGCAAATAAAGTTCAGAAATGTATTGGAAAAACAGTACCCAAAAGCTTTTTTTATTTTTATTTTTTTTTGCGGTACGCGGGCCTCTCACTGTTGTGGCCTCTCCCATTGCGGAGCACAGGCTCCGGACGCGCAGGCTCAGCGGCCATGGCTCACACCCAAAAGCTTTAAGTAAGCCTTACTTCTGAAATGTAAATATATGTAGACTCTGAAAATAATGTTACTTCAGAACTGAAAAGGGTTTTGTGCTAAAAGAGGGAGGGAAATAACATTTGGGAAAACTGATCTTTGATCTGGACACCTGTGTGGGCCATTTAGTTGCACAAATGTTAATCAATTATTTCCATGCCTACCCCATCTTGCCTTGGGGAAATATCCGAAAGGCAGATTTTAGCCGTGTGTTCTGGTTGGCAATGTAAATTGTTTCATATGGTTAAAAAGAAAAGAGGTGTGTAATAAGCAATAGGAAAGCCTTAAGACTCTCAGGTAAATAAGGTTAAGAAGTGGAAGAAATTTCAGTGGCTAAAAATCATACATAAAGAATACTCAATCATAACCAGTCACTTAAAAATCTATAAATTAGACGATGAGGTACAATATTTTCATCTGTCAAATTTAAAAAGTTTTAGAAAATGGCAGTCCCGAGTTCTAGCAAGAATGCCAAGTAACGAGCATTTACACACAACCTCTCTTGAAACATTTCGGCAATACGTGTCAGCACACTGAAAGGAAATAATACATTAACAGTGACTTTTATTTTTTCTTTATTTAAAAAATTGAGATATAATTCCCATACCGTAAGATTTGCCTTTTAAAATGTACAGTTCAGAGGTGCTTTCTTGTTTGTTTTGTTGTTGTGCAACAATCATCACTATCTAATTGCAACACACTTCCATCATTCCAAAAAGAAACCCTGAATCTGTTAGGAGTCCTCTTTCCTCCCATCCTCCAGCCTCTGGCAACTACTAATCTACTTCCTGTCCCCATGGATTTGCCTACTCTGGACATTGCATACAAGTGGAATCATACAGTATGTAGCCTTTTGTATCTGACTTCTTTTACTTAGCATAATGTTTCCAAGGTTGTGTTGTGGCATGTATCAATACTTCACTGTTGCAATTTCCAAATATCTGTGCCCATAGCTTTCATTTCTTCCTCACATGCTCCTTAAATCCCAATAATCTGACTTCTGCTCCTTCCACTCTACTGAACAGCCATGTTTTTTGTTTTTGGGTTTTTTGTGGCCATGCCACACAGCTTGCAGGACCTTAGTTCCCCAACCAGGGATTGAACCCAGGCCCTCAGTATTGAAATCATAGAGTCCTAACCACCGGACCGCCAGGGAATTCCCAGAGCAGCCATTCTTAAAACTTTTTTTGGCACAATGGTTACTCTCAGGGTCAGGAGCGATTTCTGGCTCTATCTGAACATCCCACCCTTTTCTCTTTCCCTGAAGAGAGTATAATGTAAAACAAGACAGACCATCCATAAAGAAGCTATGTTCTCACATGCTGACACTTCACCTATCATTATGCGACGATTCACAATGGCCTGAAATCCAACAACATTGGTGCCCCTGCAGGAAGTATGTCTGCTCCTGAACTCACCAGCCATCATTCCTTTTCGTCCATGACCCCCCTGACCATTTCCTTCTTGAAACCTCTCTAAGGCACCCGTGGCACTCCTTTCACTACTTCTTCTTTGAAAGGGGAGAGGAGCTAACCATCACTTTACATGCATTAGCTCCCCATTTCCACATGGTTAATAAACGTACGCTCAGAAAGATTAAGTAAACTGCCCTAAATCCCATAGCTACCAGAAGGCTGTCTGACTCCACATTGGCAGCCTCTTTCCCTGGATGCTTTTCTCCCATTGTATGTCTAAATAGGTCCCCAAGATTCTCGTCCATTGACACTCTGTCTTTGGTTATCACATTCATTGTCTTCAACTATCACGTCTATGGAAAGGACTCCCAAGTCTCCACTTCCAAGCCTACTCTTTTCCGTGCTCCAGAGCAGCCTGTCAATGGTCTGCATAATTCTCTAATATCCTGCCTATGTTCCTTCCACTGGCCTGGTGTTGGTCAGCCATGAGGGAAGATGACAGAGGTTCCAGGGCTGATGACAAGGGTAAGAAAACAATGGAAACAAGGTGGCAATGAGAGGTGTGGAGGCAGCAGTGGGGGCAGAACAGATACTTCCAGTCCTGGTATAAAGAAATGATATCCTTAAATTGTTTAATTACAAGTCCATGCTGTTAGCACGGATGTCTTAATGATGAATCGACTAAACAGCAGAGCACATGACACTACCCACAGTCTCTGCCAATCTCTCCCAGGACAGGGCAGGGGTCGTGTAAAGTGTTTAGCATATTTTGGTTCTTAGGCAAGTAGCTGCTTAGGACACTGTTAAAGTTATACAGTTTTATTTGTTTTTAGAAAATGTGGAGATAGTGATTGTAAGGTATCTTGCATATATTAGGTTTTTTGGGTTTTTTTGGTTTTTTTGCAGTACGCGGGCCTCTCAGTGTTATGGCCTCTCCCGTTGTGGAGCACAGGCTCTGGACGAGCAGGCTCAGCGGCCATGGCTCATGGGCCCAGCCGCTCCGCGGCATGTGGGATCCTCCCGGACCAGGTCACGAACCCGTGGCCCCTGCATCGGCAGGCGAACTCTCAACCCCTGCACCACCAGGGAAGCCCCCAGATATTAGTATTTTTAAGGCAAATTACTCAAACGCATTCCTTGCAGCTCTGCAGGGATAACTGCTCACCATTTTGCAATGTTTGTTTCCTTTCCAACAAAAAGAAGTTGGTGTAGTCATAAACTATAACTTGAAATGAATAAATAATCCAAACACTATATCCTACTAAACATGAGAAGGAAATGTCTTAACTATTTTCATAAACATTAACAGTCTTGTGGTATGTACTAATCTTACCTATCAAATAATATATGTAAAGCATTTACCTTAAACTAGCTTTATAATTATTCTTGTTTGGCAGGTTTGAATCTGGTTCTCTAAAACAATGTAAGAGTTGGAATATAGATGGTTATTGAAATTATGGATTTTTAAAAAATTTTTAAGGTTTATAGACTGAGTTTTAAAGCTGTTGTAGGCAGAATTTTAAACAACAGGATCTAGTGGAGTGACCGATGATGCTGGGACCTGATAGATGCAGGGGCTACACCCAGCTCAGCCGACAACTGTCCACCTACCCTCTGTGACCACAGCTTTCACAGTGGGTGTCTCAGCTTTTTACTCTAAAATAAGGGCAAGGGCTTTTCAAAGTTTGCCTAGCTATAAAACTCTAAAAGACTTACACCAACTTTTTGTTGATCGTTTCTTAAACGTTAGTGTTAGAAGCATACTTTACAAACCAGGAGGAATGAGCTTGTTTACTGGGTCAAGGTGCTAGGAGTGGGGCCCCTGGCAGGCCACAGCCAAACCCCTTCTAGAGTCTTTCTCCCCTGGGACGAGCTCTCCATAGGAGCATTCTTCTCTCACGGGCTGGTGGTAAAACAGGCCTGGGGGTGCCTCTAAGCTTGGGAGGAGCCTGACCCTGGCCAGTGTGTGGGATGACACGTAGTCTGTTTCTCTGTTAGATGTCCAGCAGCAAAGCCATTCCTTTCCTTTCCTTGGATCTGCCTTTCCTCGCCATTGGGGTGGTAAGATCTCAAAGGCTGAGTTCAGGTTGTAAGCGCAGGCGAGAGGGGACTAAAGGACGACTGAGTCTTTTCTAAATGTTATAATGGGCCAGAGCTTCTCAAATCTCCTTGCACAGAGCAAAGAGCAGTGCTCAGGCTCCACCCAGAATAATTAAACCAGACTCTGCAGGCAGGGCCCAGGCATCTGTATTTTTTTTAAAGTTCTACTGGTGATTCTAACATGCAACCAATACAGAAAAGCCTGACTTTTAAGTTATACATCTCACCTGTAGCATGGGTAGAGGGACGATTTCAAAATTAACACTACAGAATTCTTCAAATAATTCTGCTGTGAATGGTGGAATATGTTAGATTATTTATAAAAATATAAAAGACAAGAAATGAAAATACATTATTGCTAATGTTTTGATTGTATTCAAAGTTTTATTTTTTGAACAAAAAACTTAAGACAATGATTTTAAATAATAAACATGGTATATTCTAGACACTTGGTGTTTTTTTTTAAGACAGTTTATTAAATTTGGACTCCTACAGTTCTGCTGTGATGCTTTCTTCATCATTATAATAACATTTATATTATTTCTTGCCATTTTATCATTGCTCTAAACTTGCTAAACAAAGAGTCACTCTGTCTGGTTAAGTGAAGCTTCACTGGAAGGAAATACTCCACTACCACATTAAAAACACACATATACAGAACAGTCATTTTTTATATTTACAAACACAAGAAGTCTGTCCAGCCATTTGGGTTTTGTTGTTACACTGCCCATACCGAGATCAGCAAAAAGCTAAGGAATAAGCAAGATTTCACTTCAGCAGTGCAAAGGATGGCATCAACCAAACTTCGTTAAACAAACCAACAAATTACAAACACGGTCAGCAAAATTCAGCTTGCATGATACTGACTTAAAAAAATAAACAGAGTGGGTCACAACTAGACTGGTTTTCGCTATGCAACTTTCCTCAGGGAACAATACCACCCCCGTTTCACGTAGAAAGGAGTATGCATCAAAGCCTTTGTTCATGAAGAAAATGCCCTTCAAACAAATTCATCATAAGGCAAAAAAAAAAAAAAAAAAAACCGGAAAAACTGAATGAAACAGTTTGGCCCAGAGAAAGCTTGTATATACTGTGTACACTCAGTATACACACATTTACAGATATACTGCAATTTAAACCATGTATATACTCATTAGACAATTAAATGAAATTGGCTCAGTGAAAAAGTGTCCATTTTTTATAAATATGTAGTTATTGCTAATATGTGACACATTATGCTTTGACATGGAAATTGCAGTAACTTAAGAGTTTGAAGCTGCCATATTGCCAGTGTCAGCCCTGCAGCAGGCATTCATATGGACAACATGCCATCCAATCCTGAAGAAAGAGCAAAACGTCCACTACCAAAAAAAAAAAAAAAAGAAAAATGAAAGGCTTATGCACTGTCCCTTACATTTCTGCCTATTCCTTTTTTTTCTTTTAAACAAAAACAAGTCCAGCTCACCACAAGTTAAGCACAACCTGACAAGCGAGTTCAGCGGCATCATGGGGAGAGAAGAGTGAAATACAGCATGCATTTACAACCAGAACTGCTCTAGTCTATTTTGTCATACAAACTGGAATACAAAAATCCAATTTAAATAAGACTAGACTAACAGTAATAGTAAATTAAAAAACAAAACAAAACAAAACACACACACACACAGACCTAGTTGGATACTGATTAATTTTAAGAGTAAAACTCATCCTGTCCCCTCTTAATACTCTACTGCAATTTATTTATTGATGGCTAGAATATTTATTTACTTAAAAAAGATATTAAATACCTGTATCATGAAATTACATTCTTTTTTAACAATAAGACAGACCGTGTAAGAAAATAGCTCATGTGTGAAATGTGTCTGAAATGCATTTTTCCTCACAACTATCAAAACATCCATTCACACTAAAACAAACCCCCCACCCCACCCCCTGCAAAAAGTTAAGGAAAGATGGGATGGGTCAGGTGAGGAGCAGGGAAGGAAAGACTTACCAGCACAGTGATTAACAATGGTTCAAGACAGAACCAACAAGAGTTGGTCAAAAAGATGCCTTCAAGACATGGCTACAATTAAAAACCAAACTCAACCACTTTTGGTTCGTTGCGGTGAGACCGAAAAAATATTTCTCACAGATTCATATAAATACTAGACTCCAGCTCTTTTGTTATTATTATTTTTAAAGTTTTTCCATTTGTTTTTGCAAGGCCTAGCTACCATATTACAGTTTATATTTCCTCTGCAACGACTACAAGAGGTAGGCATAAAGCATGAAAAAGTTTCTCAGTTAGTACCTCACTGCAGGCAGTTCACTGCATTAAACCTTTCACTTTAGACATGAAAAGGGACTGCACCTTCTGGTCTTTTCGAGCCCCCCAAACAAAGCTGTTGCCATCCCATACATATTCTAAATGAGTGTACTCACCAATAAGAAACTTTCTCTACTGAAGGATACTGTCATAGTGTTTGTTGCAGAACATTCATATATATATAGATAGATTTATTTATTTATGTATTTTTAAAAAGTAAACAAACAACCAACAACAAAAACCGAACCCAGGTTCCTAGAACCAATTCTCTTGATTCTCTACTTCCACAAAATAAAGTATAACCATTTGGCCAAGACTACAGATGTGTTTTTTTTTCTTTTCTTTCCTTTTCACAGATACAAGTGCCATGCAAAATAAATTAGAGAACAGATACCAAAACATACATGTGATAAAACTACTGAAGGTAGATTTTTTAAAAGCATTTATATAAACATAATTTATAATCCTCTTTTTTTCCTTATGTACAGTCACAAAGCTGTAGTTAGACATCTAGGATTTCCTCGGCTGTGCCTCCACAGCGCAGTCTGTAGCGACCAGTTCTCCAGCTTATCGTTGGGTCCCATAATGCCGACAAAAAAATGTATATTGTCATGGATTCACGGATGAACCAAGCTACAGCATAATCAAGTTTTGAAAAACACAGTGTGCCACCCTAGGAATTAAAAAAATAAATTATGGACTGTCAGACTGAAGACACAGTTTAAGAAATGAAATTCTTCAATTTCACTCTTTTAAATACACTATATAAAGTCAAGTCTGCTTCTTAAGATAATTCAACTGTCATGCTATATTGGTTAAGGAAATGTTAATTAGGAAGAAAAGCAGCATTAAAATAACTGCTATCCTAACATATTCTTAGTTTGAAGACTTGTTGATTTGCTTAACATCATTCTTTTTTTTTGAGCCTTAATAAAAGTGATTGTATAATCAGCTGAAAGTTGAAAATCAAGTTCCATTTTGTGTCCACGTTCCACTAAGGAAAGTAATGCTTAAACCTGATTTTAACCTTCACTGGGAGGCTGAAGAATGGCTCAGATAGATTTTCTTCAACTTCTTCTAAATCAAAAGTGTTTTAGTTCCACCAAATGACTGCCAACTTTCCCAAGCCTATCCACATACCTGGACACCCCTGAGTTGAATGTAGTCAAATATAAACCATGCCAGGCAATGACACATGAAAAATACCATAATATCCCATCTGAATACATGGTGGGCTGCCCATCCAATAATTAAACTGGCAACAAAGCATTCTGAAATTGGCTCACAAATTATTGTTGCAGGAAGCATGTTAATTCGCAATTTGGTCCACCTTAAACAAACAAACAAACAAAAAGGGATTTTCTTTAAACAACAGCCTGGTTACAAGACTAATCAATTTTTCTCAAAATGATCAGCATTTTATCCTGTTATATAAAAGCCTTCTATATAAACTTTAAAGAGTATTTAATGAATCTCTTTTCTATTTTTATTTAGTATCTCAAAGAAAAAAGTCTATCAATTCATTTGTATGGCCTATACTCTGATGAATAAAGATCATAAAATTCGAAGGGTAGAAAGTTAGAAAATAGAGATTGGCATAAAAAATTCAAAGTCTCAACACCTCTTTTTTGAAAGCTTTCAGTGTTACAAAGGAAAGAAAATATACTTAGACGTTAAATTTATTTTAATAAGGAAGTTAACCTCTCTTTTCTGGAAATAAAAATCTGACTTTTAGTTTTTTTGTTAAAACCAAGTTAAAACCATGTAAAAATTACTCTCCCTTCCCCTTTTCTTTTAATAAAGTATAAAAAGAAGAAATCCAGCTGATTTACCTGATCATTCTGGATTGAAACTGAGAAATTGAATACGAGCCAGAGTTTTGCATTGCAACTTGAGTGGACATGGCAAACCTCCAACCTCTGAAAATTAAGACAATTATAAAATGAGCTATGATGATGAACACATGCAAGCATGACTGATTATGCATTTATTCATCCCTATAAAGAGTAAGAAGCGTTATTTCAGTAGCCAAGATATGGAAGTACACACACACACACACACACACACACACACACACACACACACTAGAATATTACTCAGTCATAAAAAAAGAATGAAATCCTGTTATTTGCAACAATGTGCATGGACCTAGAGGGTATTATGCTTAGTGAAATAAGTGAGACAGAGAAAGACAAACAGTCTGTTATCACTTATATGTGGAATCTAAAAACTAAAACAAATGAATGACTAAACAAAAAAGAAAAGACTCACAGACTTAGAGAACTAGTGGTTACCAGTGGGGAGATGGAAGGAGCAAGGGGTAAGATAGGGGAAGAGGATCAAGAGATATAAACTACCTTGTATAAAATAGGCAACAAGGATATATTGCACAGCACAGGGAAATACAGTCATTATTTTGCTATAACTTTAAATGGAGTATAATTTATAAAAATACTGAATCACTAGGTTGTATACCTAAAACTATATAATACTGTAAATCAACTATATTTTAATTAAAAAAAAAAGTGAGCAACTGTCAGTGTTCAGGGTGAGCCTCGTCCCAGGATAGCACCCTACGTAGGGTATATCATACTTGTACACATTTTAGTCATTACAGAGGCCCATGATAGTACCACCTAAGAAATGGAAGGAACAACCCCTCAGTTCACAGTTTAATAAACTTAAAATACAGACATTCTGAAAGTACTAAATAGAGTGGGTCCTGTATTTAATAGTTTAGTCTCTGAACACTATTAATCAAAAAAAAAGGGCAGGGTGTGAAACCAAAAGTGGTATTCTGTATCTCATGAGAAACGCTATGAAACCATGGACCACATTAACACCATCAGGAGAGAAGTTTAAAAACATACTTCACATCTTTAGTAAATTATCAGACAAGGAAATGACCCCCTTTAAAAAAGCAAATGAGTGTCACTGTGTGATAGAGAAATGTTATTAAGCCAATCATGTGAATCATTAGGTGGCTTCTTAGCAAGGTATGAAATAATCTACTGAGAAATTTCAAAATCTGAAATCATATTCTTTAAATTTTCACCTACCGGCTTATGACTGCACTGACATTTTTAATTCTTCTAAAACACATAAAAATTTACATCCATAATAATGAAAATTTATAATCACAGAGAAGCTTCAATTTAATAACTTCAAACCATGCAGTTTTTTTTTTTAGGGTTTAAATGTATTTATTTTATTTTTAAATTGAAGTATAGTATAACATTAATTTACTATGTTGTGTTACTTTCAAGTGTACAGCAAAGTGATTCAGTGTGTATGTATCTGTATGCTATACAGTAGGTCCTTGTTGTTTACCTGTTTTATATACTGCATATATGTTAACCCCAAACTCCTGAGTTATCTCCCCCACCCCTCCTATCCTCGTTGGTAAACGTAAGTTTGGTTTCTATGTCTGTGAATTTATTTCTGTTTTGTAAATAAGTTCATTTGTATTGTTTTTTTAGATTCCATCTATAAGTGATATTATATGATATTTGTCTTTCTCTGTCTGACTTCACTTAATATAATCTCTAGGTCCATCCATGTTGCTGCAAATGACATTATTTCATTGTTTTTTATGACTGAGTAATAGTCCATTGTATATTCAGACCACATCTTCTTTATCTATTCATCTGTTGATGTGCATTTATGTTGCTTCCATGTCTTGGCTATCGCAAATAGTGCTGCTATGAACATTGGGGTGCATGTATCTTCAAATTAGTGTTTTCTCCAGATATATACCCGGGAGTGGGATTACAGGATCATATGGTAACTCTATTTTTAGTTTTTTTAAGGAAACTCCATACTGCTCTAGAAACCACATTAATTTGAAGAATGTAGAGAAATTAGAACATTTATTTGCTTCATTAGTACATAACTGAATAATTAATAGGAATTACATTCTAAAAGTATTAAACTATTCTGTACTCACTAGCAAAAAATAAAATAAAATAGCTCTTAATCCATGGGTTTAACAAACAGAGTAAACCAACAGAAGTTAGGAACCAAAAATGTAACAGCCCGATTTAATTTAGTTTTCTTACCGGTCAGCTATTGCTTTGGCCATAAAGTAATCTTCAGCAATGTACTGAGCAAAAGCTATAAGCCCTCCTGCTTGATCTAACACATCCTTTCTCATTAAACAAGACATTCCCGTCACACATTTGAAACCAGTGACATTGGCAGAGATATAGGACCTTGGATGAGAGGTTCCAAAATACACCTGCCAAAACAAAGCCAAAAACGTATGTATACAATTAGAATTTTATGTTAAAAGTATGATGTTTATAAATTCTTTTTCCTAATGAATTTCAGTATGATTGGGTGAATATTCTATTATTCTTACATAAATTACCTGAATAAAAAGTGGTACAAAGTAATATTTACATATAGCAAGCAGTCAATAATTTCTTATTTGATTGACTACACTTGTTATTATCACCATTGCAAAGAAGTATTTACTTCTAGGAGGGAAAAGTATATTTTATTCTCAAATAAATACTGTCTTCTCTAAAACTCCAAGATTTAAAGATTTACTGAAGTAAAACTTAATTTGGATTTGAATCAGACAGGTAAAAAATATCACTCACTTCATATAAAATATTAATATTTAATGTGTTGTTTTCAGAATGTTCATGTAGATATACACACACCTACATATATAGGTATACGTACGTACATGTATATGTGTATATGTATGCATGTGGCTACACACATGCGCACATTCATACACACAATATTTATAGGTACATCAACCAATAGAACAATCCTATTTCTTAATTCCTTTTCTTGTGTCCTTTTATATAGCTAGCTATTTCCTGCCGGTGTCACTGAGCTTCCCAACTTCCCCATTTTTCAATGTATTTTTCATAAATAGGGTGGATACTAATATTCTGTCTTCCATTTTACTGCCCTTTTCCTAGATGTGCTTTGAAGTAATGAGAAATGCAAACTACTAAATTAACGGTAGAATTAAATGGTCATCACCCAACTTATCAGATATAAAACCTATTTATTATTTACATCTTAGATATGCTGCCTTTTGTAATTAGTCATCTCTCTGTATCCTAGGGGAATTGGTTCCAGGAGCCCTGTATCAAAATCCACCGATGCTATGTGCGTATTATCTACACCTGTCAGATTACTTATAATACCTAATACAATGTAAATGCTATGTAAAGAGTTGTAAATACAATGTAAATGCAAGGTAAAGAGTTGTAAATACAATGTAAATACTATGTAAAGAGTTGTAAATACAATGTAAATGCAAAGTAAAGAGATGTAAATACTATGTAAAGAGTTGTAAATACAATGTAAATGCTATGTAAACAGTTGCTGGTGCAAGGCAAATTTACACTTTGCTTTTTGTAACTTTCTGGAATTTTTTTTTCCGAATATTTTCGACCTATGGTTGGTTGAAGCCAAAAATGTAGAACCCATAGACTTAATACAGTTAACTTCAGGTAGCTCATCCCAACTCTCAGCATAGTCTCAAGCTTCTGGGAGATTAGGGATCTGATAACAAGAATATTATTTAATACATTTTTATGCAGGGCTCTCACTGCTGTGGCATCTCCCACCGCGGAGCACAGGCCCAATGGCCCACAGGCCAAGCCACTCCGCAGCATGTGGGATCCTCCCGGACCGGGGCACGAACCCGTGTCCCCTGCCTTGGCAGGCGGACTCCCAACCACTGCGCCACCAGGGAAGCCCAAGAATATTATTTATAACCATTGCACTTACCTGTTCTAGTGTGGCGGCAAAGCCCTGTCTGTCTGCTACATAGGGCAGCCCGTGAACCAGGCCTACTTTCTCTGTCATTTGGTTAACCATGTCCGTGAGTGTGTCTGGAATCACTAGGATGCAAAAGAAAAAAAGGTGCAGAGGGAGAGGAAAAAATTTCCTTTTAGTAAAATGCCCACTAATGTAAAATATAATTTATGAGTTATTAAATTCTTAAATGTTTTTCTTTGTATGTGGGTCTAATAAAATGAATCTCAATCACTTTTCTGAGTAGAATACAAAATTTCAAAGAGGTTAACTTATGGTAGTGAATTTATTCTGGACACTTGCAGGTTGGTACATACCTAATATGTAGCAGGGGCAGGATGTACCTTGAAAACTTTAACAGTCCGTTTCTGAACCTCCCAACTGGAATAATGGACAATATGTCCTAGTACAAAAGGTACAGGAGCAGAGGTCAAAGGGGCTCAGTGTTCACTATGACTCCTCCATTCCAACCATAGGGAATGAGCCTCCTCTTTCTGGGGGTATGAGATATTCTCTCTCAAAACTGCTAATTGGAACTGAATGAGAATATACTTGACAGAGATTGATACACTGAAAACATAGCAACTATACGATAGTAAATAATTTAAGATAGCAAATGTGAAAAATGAATGTAATCTCTGACCATGAATTGATAGATCTGTAATCTAATTAAGTAGGAGTGCCACACTATTAATTTTCAAATTTGCACATTTCAAGCTGATAAAATTTAAATCATTTCCCCATTTTTAAATAGCAAAAATATCATATCATTTTATACAACTTCATTTTTATTTCCTTCAAGTATTTAAGAACTAAATCTACTGTATAAAAGTGTATTTGGACCTTAAATACAGGTAGTCTGGGTAGTGGTTCTCAACTGCTGCTCTGTAGGGGACATTTGGCAATGTCCAGAGACAGTTCTGGCTGTCACAACCAACAGCGGCTACTACTGCATCTAGTGGGTAGGGGCCAGGGATGCTGCTAACCACCCTGCAGGACAGCCCTGACAACAAAGAATTACCCAGCCCAAAAGCGTTGAGGTTGAAAAACTTGAGGTAATTAGAATATAATAGAATATTATAGAATACCAAAATTATTATAAGTATAAATGTTTAAAAATGCAAAAATACAAATTATAATGTCAATATATTGATATTGACGTTATAATTTCAATATAATTGAAAACATGATTATTGAAATAATTCCTGATAAAATCAGCTAGGTAGAAAGCCATGAATGTATTCTAATAAATGTATGTAATTCTAGTAAAATATGCACCTATTAATTTCTGTCCCTTTGCATGAGACAGTACATTGCACATGCCACAAACAGATTAAAGTAAAAGACGTCACATGAATAAGGGAAAACTTACACCTAGAAAAAGCTCATAGACTATATAACGGACCACGACTATTTTTTTTTTTTTGGCTGCATTGGGTCTTTGTTGCGGCACGCGGGCTTTTCTCTAGTTGCAGCAAGCGGGGGCTACTCCTTGTTGAGGTGTGCAGGCCTCTTACTGTGGTGGCTTCTCCTGTTGCAGAGCACGGGCTCTAGGCACGTGGGCTTCAGTAGTTGTGGCACACGGGCTTCGTTGCTCCGCGGCATGTGGGATCTTCCCGGACCAGGGCTTGAACCCGTGTCCCCTGCATTGGCAGGCGGATTCTTAACCACTGCGCCATCAGGGAAGTCCCGACTATTTTTTTTTTTAATAGTTGGAATTTTCTCTTCAAAATGAAAACATTTTCATACACATAACATTCTAGGTTAGTATAAAAAACATCAAAATCTTAGTAAGTATAACTTGACATATTACCACGAAATAATGATAAAATGAATTACTTTATTAGGCAAACAAATAGGATTGATAAATGTATTCTCAGACTGCTCTTGGCATTTTATCATTGAATGAATAGTTCTGCAAAATAAATAAGAAAAACCTCACCTCTTATTCCACTATCACAAATCCATATAAGATCATACTTTGCAACTTCATATCCTGGCATTAAATTGTTAATTTTAGGATTAATGCCAACCTTTTTGCCACCTAAAAATTTTAAAGTACAGCAGTGAACAATTCATGCAATATTGGAAATATTTTCTATTATACATATACATAGTAGAGTAGTAAAAAGTACTTGCAGATTTAATAATTTAAACAAACATACTTTAACATTATGTTTCTCTTGAGACACAGATGTAGAGAACAAACGCATGGACACCAAGGGGGAAAGTGGCATGGGGTGGTGGTGGACACTGGTGGTGGGATGAATTGGGAGACTGGGATTGACATGTATACACTAATATGGATAACTAATTAAAAACATGCTGTATAAAAAAATAAATAAAATAAAATTCAAAAAACAAAGAAAATAGTAGGTGAAACCATCATACTTAAAAAAAAGCCAAAAAACCCATTATGTTTCTTATTATTCATAATAATATATTTAGAAAAAAATTGTTCATTCTCAAAAAGAAAAGTACATCATTAATCTTTGAAAATTCATTAGTTTCAGTTTTCTAATTCTTAAGTGCTTGCATTAATAGTAAACATTAATCAATATTTAATAGCAAATATACCTCTAATTAGTCTTTAGAATAAGCCTGTAGGCTTTTGGAAAAATATTCTTTTTGCAATATTACAAAAATGAATTCTATCCCTCATTCCCAATTATAATCAATGAGATACAGAATAGGCCATAGATTGAAAATATTAAAGAAACAAAAATAACAGGGTCATGTCTGACTGACGAGTAAAACATAATTTGGGGTAATTCTGTTAATCCCAGATATGAAAAAAAAAAACTTTGTCTTTATAACTTAAGTCTTCTCAAAAGGACAGAAACACCTTTCACTGTATCTAACAAACATGCATAAAGCAAACATGCTAATAACTTAATGGGTGTCTAGCACTCTAATCTATAGTTTAATGCAAAGAAGATTACTGATATTTAATATATTAAAGCAAAAAGGTTATTGTAGAATTTGTTACTTACCTATAAACAATCTAGCATCAACATTTGGATATTTTCCAAGAAGCTTCTTACACACATCAATGGCTGGATCATCATGATCTTGGACACAGAGGAGTACTTCATACTAGTCAAAGAACACATTTTATGTAAATTAACCTCTTTTCCAAAGATAATCACTTATTATTAGTATTTACTGATGGATCAAAAAGCATTAAGAAAAACAAGCAATTGTACCCACAAAGTTTAAAAGTTAAGAGAGTATTCATAATGGATGCAGACACTTAAAGGATTATCAAGTGTTGCTTTAACCGAGAGCAGCTTCTCCAGAAGGGGCTGTTTGTAAGCCAAAGAGAGAATGAAGAGATTGGCAGGGCCCACAGCTGAAGTCCTGCCACTGCCAGATAGGCATGGCCTAATAATTCAACTGGATTCTAAGCTTCTCCATGGGCTTCATCACTGAAGATTTATTAGATGCTCACAGGGTGCCTAGCAGTGTGAAAACAACACAGAAAGCAACCAAAATGAACACACCCTTCGTTCTCTAGAAGCTTTGTCTCTGAACTTAATATCATTTCATCAGGGTGCTAAAAATTACATACTGAATACCACTACGATAAATTTAAAGGTTTCCCAAACTCTTCACAAGGACAAAGTGAGATTAGATTTTTTGTTGTATAATAATTTTCTGAAGTAGAATAGAATCTGATTTGATTAAAAATGTATCCTGAAAAGCACACTTAGCCTTTTAACTATGAAAACATCCAGGATTTTATTTTGCCCAGACCCATGTTTACTCTTTTTTATTTTTTTGGCTGCATTGGGTCTTCGTTGCTGTGTGCGGGCTTTCTCCAGTTGCGGCAGGCTGGGGCTACTCTTTGTTGCGGTGCGCGGGCTTCTCATTGGGGTGGCTTCTCTTGTTGTGGAGCACAGGCTCTAGGCCTGCGGGCTTCAGTAATTGTGGCGCTCGGGCTTAGTTGCTCTGCGGCATGTGGGATCTTCCCGGACCAGGGCTCGAACCTGATTCTCCTGCATTGTCAGGCGGATTCTTAACCACTGCGCCACTGGGGAAGCCCTATGTTTTACTCTCTGATAGTACACTAAGGAAGACATTTCTTAGCACTTGGCTGGCTGTGTCAAAATTACCCCCGGACAGTTTTTTTTAAAAAGAGGATACTGGGTCCCACTCTTAAACTTCTGAATCAGAGCATCCGAGGGGATTCTGACATGTAACCAAGTTTATAAAATCTTGAGCTCTAAGATACCATTTAGTAAACTACTAAATTTTTTAAAAGTGTTTGCTTACACACATAAAGATGCTACTCTATTATTCTGTGGGCTATGTATTCTAAGCAGTAATTTTTTTCAATAGTGGTGATAAATTCATGCTGACTCAATAGCAGATTTCCTACCAAACCTTCTTTCTAAGACAGATTGAACATTTTTAAGCAAAGGAGGAAGGTTAATCATGTCCATGAGAAAATAACAAAGCTATGTGTTCTAAAAAATACAAAAAGTTGAGGACACAATTTTTTAGGTGTCTAACATACAAGGACTAAAGCTAAGGTAATGGGAAGGCCTGTTTGATTTACTTCCATTGATAAGCATACACAAGTAAAAAGTGGAAATAAAATGTGTACAGTGCCTTGAGCACAATAATTACTGTTCACCTAATATATTGATATATTATGTCAGCAAAAAGTGGCAGCATAGAATTTAGTGGTCAAGCACATAAGGACCAGGACTAAGGTAGATAAAGAAAGTTTAGCTAACAAGGTAAGATTTTTTTTTTCAAGTGAAAAAAAAGTTTTCTCAATAATTAAGTAAAGACCTGGATGGACCTGAGAGTCGGTCATACAGAATGAAGTAAGTCAGAAAGAGAAAAACAAATATCGTTTATTAACGCATATATGTGGACTCTGGAAAAATGGTACAGATGAATCTATTTGCAGGGCAGGAACAGAGATGCAGACGTAGAGAAGGGACGTGTGGACACAAGGTTGGGGGAGGATGAATTGGGAGATTGGGATTGATATATATACACTACCATGTGTAAAACAGATAGCTTGTGGGAAGCTGCTGTATAGCGCAGGGAGCTCAGCTTGGTGCTCTGTGAGTGGGATGGGTGGGATTGCGGCGGGTGTGGTGGTGGTGGTGGTGGTGGTAGGAGGGAGGTCCAAGAGAGAGGGGATATATGTATACATATAGCTGATTCACTTTGTTGTAAAGCAACTATACCCCAATTAAAAAAAAAAAAAGTAAAGGGGAAAAGCAATGTATACTTTCCTCATACTTTCTACCTATAGTTATTACATATTCTATCCATTATCTACCTCTCATGATGACTGACCAAAATTGCCACCTTAGAGGTACTGAAATGATTAAGCAACTTTACAGCCAGTGGTCTCCAGAGATCAGATAAAAATCTGAGAATGGGATGGGCACCATTCCTGCCACACCCTGAAACTTCTTCAAGGGTTGACTCTTAAGTCCCATAAAAAGTCAGCCATCCTCCCTACCAAAATGTTTGCTTGAGCCAACAAGAGGCAGACCTTAACCATGAAGATTAGAAAGGTTAAGTGACTTTCCAAAGGGTGTAAGTAACAATGAGCTTTCCTACTATAGTGAGTTGCTCAGTCAGGCTTGCTCTAAAGAGTTCATTGTTTTTCCAAACATAGCGTAGTTTTATGCTTTTATGATTTATACTGTTTTACAGGTATAAGTAAATATAGTGAAAGAATATGTTTATAAGTAATACAATTCCATAAAATATTATTAAAAACCTACTCTTGGCTTTTTCCTCAGCAAGAGAAAACTCTGTAATATATAGTACTAGACACCTACTCAATGGGAAGAAAAAGGCTATACTAGGTTGTAGCAAAAACTTTTTCAGAAGTATATGGTGTTAGTATAAGTAAGGGAGGCATAGTTTACCTTTATCCAAATGCAAGATTTAAAGTTTTTGTTCTTATTGATTACACCTCTTAAACTTAATTTCAAATGAAAAACAAATACCTCCTGATAAGTCAGAGTGCAGATGAAATTCAATTCACTTTATCTAAAAAATGTTCAGACTCTTATTAAAGATATAACTTTCCCTTAGATGTGCCTGATATTAAAAATTATACCAAATTGGAGGTAGTATTCCAAGTGTTTTCTAAAGTATTAGATTTTAACCAAGAATCTTCATTTTTCAGCTAGAATCTCTATGTTTGATCAACATTTAATTTGCTAGGAATTTCTGTACTTAAATAGTTAAATCACTCCGACTACACTGCAATTGGTAAAACATAAGATATTAAGTTGATTAAAAGTTTTGGTTTTTTTTTTGCGGTACGCGGGCCTCTCACTGTTGTGGCCTCTCCCGTTGCGGAACACAGGCTCCGGACGCGCAGGCTCAGCAGCCATGGCTCACGGGCCCGGCCGCTCCGCGGTGTGTGGGATCTTCCCGGACCCGGTCACGAACCCGCATCCCCTGCATCCGTAGGTGGACTCTCAACCACTGCGCCACCAGGGAAGCCCTAGGGTAAATTTTGAGTGAAAGATAGATAGATGCTTCCTTTGAGTGAAAGGAAGATGTTTTGTAAGAAAACTGCTCTGAATTCAAAGTTTTGATAAGTTATATCAAAAACTTACTTTCAAGAACTAGGTAGTTTACATGATTTTTCAAATTTATTTGGTAAAACACTAATCTTTCAGACGTAGTAGTTTTATTACATGTATTGTGCTGATCTTTCAATAACTGAACCTATTTTCAATCTTTTTAAATTCTTTACTGTCATCAGTGACAATAAAGAATCCAAGTATGGCACTGGACTTCAAACATTTTAAACCCATTCTATATTTGCAAAAAAGAAAAGAAAATCACAATTACCATAACCTCACTCTGTTAATAACTCTGATCATTCATTTAAAAATTCTTCATATGGCCAGAATTTACTAAAGTAAAGCCATCAAGACACTTTAGATGCAGATTACTGAATCCTCCTACTATGGCTGAATTTCTGCCTAAATGCCTTCTCCTATGCTGATGCCAAATGAGTACTCGATTTTGTGAAAAATGAATTGTATTCATTTTTTTTATTCTTATATTTTTTCCAAGAATTTTTTTCCCCCAAGGAATAAATATCAATATAAGGTGGATTTACAAGATATTTAAAGCATAGATGTCTTTCAGGGCACTTAGTATAATAACAGTCTCACCAAAATTTAAACCTAGAAATTCAGACCAAGTGTCCGTAATTAATCTTCTTGCACATGTCTAAAATTAAATGAAATTTTAGTATTTCAGTATGTTATATACATATTTCCAAATGGCCTATAAGGTTCCAAATCAAATAACAGAGGAAGGAGTTACATCCAGAACAAAAACGTTTCCATACTTTTATAAAACAATGTTCACATTTGACAAATGGAGAATATTAAAATGTGCTGGGCCTGGCAGTTACACAAATGTTCACTTCATGACTATATGCCTCCTTGATGACACAAACAACTCGTGTTCACACTCAGATTTGTGCGATTTCAGTGGTTTAACTTCAGTCTCCTGTAGAATTGCCATTGCTTTTGGTCTTTTAAAAAGCAAATATAGTGCAGTGAGATCAACATTTCCTTTTAGATTGCAGGTACTCTGCACTTTTGCTCTGCTTTCTAAATGTTCTTTTTACACAGCTAACAATTCTTTTGTAATTAGAAAATAAAATTATGAACTAAAAAAGAATGAAAACAATCCCTTGCATATAATGTTATTCATTTTTGTAATGTGTCAAAACAGCTTCCTCCTCAACCAAATAAATGTCTTAATGACATAACTTAAGCGGAAAAAGAACTTAAGTGGAAAGAGAACTAAGTGAAAAACTAGAGCTCTGGAGATAATTCCAAACTGTATAAAAAAAAACTTCATTCAGAAGAAGAAATCAATTATTGATTCATCCCAAATGTTCATAGTTAATGGATACATATGTTCCTGGGGTTATTTTAAGAAACTCTTTAAACCCACACTAACTTCCAAAACCATTTTAAATTCCATGACTATTATCTCACAAGAGCAGCAACATAAAAATCCCATAACTAAGTTTTAAGAGTGGTTGAATAGGGAAAGGGGAAAGGGTTGGATGCTGGTTAAAA